GTATAGGCAGGTAGGTAGGCAGGCAGCTGGGTAGGTTGGCACGTGGGTATGTAGGTACGTAGGTAGGAAGGTAGGTACAGGCAGGCAGGTAGGTAGAGGTATGGGTACTTAAGAAAGAAGGTTGCTAGGTATAGGTAGGTAGTTAGGAAGGAAAGTGGATAGGTAGGTAGGTAGGTAGGCAGGCAGGGAGGTAGGTAGGTAGGTACTTAGGTAGGTACTTAGGTAGGTAAGTAGGTAAGTAGGTAAGTAGGTAAGTAGGTAAGTAGGTAGGTAGGTAGGTAGGTAGGTAGGTAGGTAGGTAGGTAGGTAGGTATAGGTAAATCAAAATGAAGTTTGTCTGCTCGGGCTCTGTAATCATGACATAGTGAACGTAGCTAGGCAAAACCACCAGGGCCAATTATAATGCCAGTGCTGACATGTAGATCAAAAGCCTTCGGGCTGCAACAGTTTTCAGTGCCGGCAAGGCTGCCCAAGGGCTCGGTTTGCAGTGCTGCACTGTTCTCCTAAAGGACGTACTTTTGGCACAAGTTCCCAGCAAGTGTTTTCTAGAAAACAAAAGAGCTTGGGCCAAGCCTTTGCCCCTGCCTTGCTGAAAAGCCCACGGGCTGTGTCACCGGACAGACGACACAGCTTTCGTGCAAAAGAGAGGGAGATGAATCAGAAGCCCGGTGGGCTGCATGTTAGGAGAAGCCCGGTGGGCTGCATGTTAGGAGAAGCCCGGTGGGCTGCATGTAGGACAGTCAGAAGCCATGTATGTATCTCTTTTTTGTTTTTGCATGTTGGTCATGAACAGAAGCCTTTTGGGCTGCATGTTAAAGGACATTCTTGCTTCGTTTTTGTTTTGCATGCTGCGAATCAACAAAAAGCCCTGTGGGCTGCATGATGCTGTGTATCTGTTTTCAACTACTTTTCTGTTCTTCGAATGCCAACCATGCTCAGAAGCATTTTGCTTTTTGTTAGCTAGTTGGTTTCAACGAAGACCAAGCAAATCCGAAGGATTTGAGGAAAGCCATGGCACAGTCACAGTGGAGTGTGAAGGATGTCTGCTGTGAGATGCGGGATTGCAAAGCCTTGCTTGAAGCACGGCAGGGAACATCCCCGCGCTCAGACTTCTTGGAAAGGATCAAGGACACAATCGGCTTCAAGCTTCGCTCCTTGCCGCAGCTCTCAGCTGCTGAAGCTTTGGAGCTGCACAAGGTCTTGGGAGAAGTCGACTTCCCAGAGCCGGTGGCTGCTGCTCTCAGCCAGCAAATCGACGGGAAGCTGCTTCAAAAGACGGAGCAGACAACGATTGTTTCCTTGAAGCAGCAGTCCCTCACGAACATGCATCTGTTCTTGACTGCCCAAGACTGGGCACTTCTTGAAGGAGATGGTGCAGATTGGTGGGCCAAGCAAGAGTGCATCGTTGGGCGATTGAAAAAGCTTGGTGTAAAGTCTCTGGCTGAAAGCACAGTGCGAAGCTGTGTTTCCATTCTGCTCTCGACTGTGACTGTGTTGCCACACCCAGACGACCAGCATGCAGCCGTGCTGGAGTTCAAAGGCTGCTTTCACAGCACGGAGAACGTGGATGGCCTACCGTACCTTGTGCGGTTCCCGGAGCAGCCGAGTGGCTTGCCTCCTGCTTTGCTGCAAAGCGCCTACACGGAGGCAGACCCTCCAGTGGCAAAAAGCATTGCAAGGCTGGCTTACATTGCCAAGGCCCTTCCTGTCAGGGATACCCACAACTCCCTGTCCGCGAATCTGGGCAAGAGCAAGAAGAGGCCGCTTGCTACCCCGCAGCAAAGCCCGGTAGCTTCAACAGCCTTGTCTGCTTCGCCTTCGTGGCAGCGGGGCACCGGTGGCAGCAACTGGACAGCTTCAGAAGCTTCGAGCCCAATGCAAGGCTTCATGGGCATGTGCAATGAAATGGTCAAGTGCATGCAGAGCTTCCAAGCTGTCCAACTGCAGATGACTAGTCGCCAGAATCCTTCTCAGTGCTTCCAGCAGCAGGCCGAGCAGTTCCAGCCGAAGCCAAAAGAGCTCACAACTGGAGCGGCAGCACCTTTGCAGCTTTCCGCCTGCAACGAGGTCGGACAAGGCACTCCCGTGACACAGCCTCAAGTTGGCTTTCCTACAGCGAAGCTTGCTTTGCCACCCCCAGAAAACAGCCCTGCAGAGCCAACAGCTGCAGAAGCGGAGGCTCGCAACCCCGAGCCAGAAGGACTGTCGCCGGAAGAGCAGCTCTTCGAGTCTCTGAAGGCAAAGCAAGCCAAGGCCAAGGCCAAAGCCAAGTGCAGTGCCAAGCCCAAGGCGAAAGGGAAAGTCTTCAAGAGACCACAAGCAGCTCCACGTGCTTTGGCTGGCGGCCCCAAACTGCCGAAGTACGTCCCAGAAGCTCCCAGTGCTCAGCAGCTCAGTTCTCGACGAGCATGCTTTGTGGACAAGCACTACCACAAGGCAAAGAACATCGCCTTGAAGGCTGGTGTTGGCCAAGACCGAGCATATGAGTATGCGAGGACTGCAAGAGCAAAGGCTGCTGAGCTGTGGGACTCTCGCAAGTGTTAATTAGGTGTTGGTACCAAGCAGCATTCAAAAGAAATGCAGCTTGCTTCGGGCACAGCATCACATGATCCTCATGTGTTGCTTCAACCTGTGGCTCATCGCCGGGGAAAGTGGGGAAAGGTGGAAAACTGTAGAAGTTTCTGAATTGATGCTACTTATATACCATGTGTCTTGTTGAAGAAGCCACACGGCTCGCACACTTGCACCGATTGCTACCGTTTTGTGATGGAAATTCTCGCTGATCCATGATCCAGGTGCTCAGCCTTGACATTATCTGCTGCACTTGTGTCCAACCTCAACATCGCATGCGAAAAAAGTAGCTGGCCCAAGCTTTCCAAGCTTAGAAACAGGAGAGCATGCTTGAGGAGCTAAAACATCGCATGCGAAAAAACAGCTGGCCCAAGCTTTCCAAGTTTAGAAACAACAGAGCATGCTTGAGGAGCCTAAGTTTTGCCAGCGGTTCATATACAGAGGCTTCTATAGACTGGAGCTAGATCTTTCGCATGTCTCATGAAGCCTGATGCATGGATGACAGAGATGCGAAGCTCAGAAGGCTGGAGGCAGTGAAGCGAAGAGTGCCAGCACTTACAGCCTCTGCTTTTGCAGGGCTTCTTCAAGAAATAGAAGCCAATGGCTTGCCTGGCTTAAAACAACGCAAGCACATAAAAGAATGCACTGCAAAGCAGATGCAGCAGCATGCCGCTTACGGCCCGATGATCCTGAGTGTTTCCACTCCGGGAGCTGGCGACTCCCAGATTGAGCTGGTGATGACAAACATATTCACAATGCTGCAAGCCTTTATGATGGAGTGCAAGCCATTTCGAGACTTGTTGTTGAGCTGCATGGCTGCACACGGCACTTTGACTTTGATGCTCTATAGTGACGAAATCAATCCAGGAAACCCATTAGGCATCGAACAGGGTCGCAAAGTTTGTTGCTTCTACGGTTCGTTTTTAGAATTCGGACCGATACTCTTGTCGAGAGAAGCTGCATGGCTCCCTCTTTGCTGCCAACGGTCTGCACTGGTGAGTTCGCTGCCAGGGGGGGTTAGCCAATTGGCTTCATGCATTCTCAAAAGTATTTTCAGAAGCAGTGTTTGCGACCCCATGCACACTGGTGTCGTCCTCAAAGACCCAGAAGGGCAGCTGCACCGAGCCCGCTTCCGTCTTGGATGTTTTCTTCAAGACGGCCTTGCCCATAAACAGCTTTTCAGCATACGAGGAGATAATGGGACCCGTTGCTGTATTTTATGCCGCAACGTGCTAGCGGCTCGTGCAGGCGACTTAAGTGATGACCTGGAAGACTTTGTGCTCAGCAGTGATGTGTTCAAGGAAGAGCAACTCGTCCAGAACACAGATGCAGACTTCCGCCGATCAGTCGAGACCATGGAAAGCAAGAAGCTTGAAATGACTGCGAATCATTTTCAGCTTTGGCAGCAGGCCACCGGCATTTCGTATCACCCTGAAGGGTTGATCTTTCAAGACAGCTTGAAAGACATAGTGATGCCGATCTCGCAGTGGTTACACGACTGGATGCATTGTTATTTCCAGAAGGGCATATGGATCCCTGGCTTTTTTATTCTTAAGTTTCCTGATTTACCTTGAACTTTATATCGCAGCACCATGTGTCACCGAATTCACCTTGTTCTAAGTCATATCACGATTTTGCGACGGCCCCAAGGAATACAGTCATGCATTTGACGATGGCTGCAATAGCTTCAGAGCTGGACGTGGACTTCTATGCCCAGTGTCAGCTATATTTCCAATCTTGGACTTTGCCCAAAGCCAGGAGCGAGTCCTTGAGTGGCATGTTCTCCGCCAAACGGAAAGAAGCCAACAAGGCTGCAGGCACTTTCAAGGCCACGGCTTCGGAAGGCCTCAGTTTGTATAGTCTGTTCGGGTTCATGCTCGCGCAAGTGGTAGCACCGCTGGTGAAGTGCAGCAACGTGATCAAAGCTTACACCGGGCTTGTCAATGTCATTGACCTGATTCAAGCAATACCCCTGGGCAAATGCAATGCAGATGAGCTCCGGTATGCCATCAGCTTTTTTTTGGATGCTTGCTTGGCAGCCGGATACCGAAACTTTTTCCACCCCAAATTCCACTGGCAGCTGCACATGCCGAGCCAACTGGCACGTTTTAAATGCATGCCTTCTTGTTGGGTTCATGAACGAAAACACAAGGTTGCAAAAAGGTACGGGGCTCCAATGGCCAACACAACAGCATTCGAGCGATCACTGTTGCTTGAAATGCTTGGCCACCAGATGGCAGAACTCAAGGAGGACTACGTTTTTGACACTTCTGCCAGATTGGACAAGGCATGCAAAGCATCGCAGAAAATGAAGCAGTTTCTACAAGATTACATGGGGAGGCCTTCGGATGACATCTGCACTTGTGCCCGGGCTCATCTGTCGCCGGCCGGGCAATGCCAAAAAGCTGATGTAGTGCTTCTGAAGCATGGGCTGATCATTGCCGAAGTATATTTCCATGCGACCTTCGGCGATCGAGTGCTATCTTTGCTGTCACTGTGGGAAAAGCAGACGTTTGAGGCATGCAAAGGCTGTGGCGTCTTCAAGAAGCAGCATGCTCCCATGCTTGTGGAAACTGCGGACATAGCTTGTGCTCTGCCTTTCTGCCGTTTGAAAGGCGACATGTACAGAGTCTTCGTTCCCTTGGCATACAGGCGGTAACAGCCACCGATGGCTCAGCTCTTCAAGGAAAAACCGCCGTCATCGAGCAGTGACTTTGTTTAAGAAAAGCCCATGGGCTGCATGCACATGTTGTAGCCTGGTTGGGCACCACTCAGCAGCAGTGCTGCAAGTCAGTTTGTTGTTGATGAAACTTCCAGGTGTTGCCATGAAATTTCAAAGGAATTGAGTCGGACATCTCGACGTGTGTTTTTTTT